GGCCATCACTTCTCTGATGGCACTAGAAAATGAACTCATCCCACCATAGAATGTCGATGTCGACGAGCGGGGGGTATGTAGTCCGCCCGAAACAGTGAAACAGGAATTTCAGAGGAATTCGAGGATAACGAAAGACCTGAATAGCGATACTTTATGCGTTCAATAGCTCTTTTTACCTGTAAACTTCTGAACTTTCAATTACTGATGGGAACGAATAAAAAGGGCTATAGTACCTACTAATAATTATACTTCAGCGAGCGGATTGCATGCTAATTGAAAAGGGAACGTTCATCGGTAGGCATTTCGGTGCAGGTGATGGAAATCTGTTCTTTTACTGAGCGATTCACATTGCGCTGTATTGGCCGACTACACATTGTATCTATTCTACAGATTTATGTATTGTATGGGCGTATGGCGCGGACCACACTCCTGCTGCAGGAGCGTGTGCTGAGTAGTGCAGGATCAAGCCTTGCTCTGTCTGTTATGATTCGATCGCTACAGCGCACTATTGAAAAATCCGTTAAACTTTTGGAGCGCGCCTGGCGAAAGAGAAGCAGGAGAGCTCGGTGTCAGCCGAGCGATCCGATTGGTACATCTGATAAAAGGCGTGAGAAGGGACGGTCACCATATTCATAACACGGGTGACAGCATCAGCTGGCTGTTGATTCTCAGATATGATATAGGGTATGGGAAGGGGAACATTATTGGTGGGTGACAGGAAGTGATATCTACTGATAAGATTCGATAAGAGGCGTTAGAAGGGGATCGTCACCATATTCATAACGCTGATGACAAGCATCAGCTAGGTATTCATTCCAAGATATGATATAGGTATGGGACATGATTATCACTGGTGGGTGACAAGAAGTGTCAGCAGCTGATAAGATTCGATAATGGGCTTTAGAAAGTTGTAGACTGTGTTCACATCGCAGGTCACAGCGTCAGCGAGGCGTTGGTTCCAACAGGTGGTATAGAAATAGGGATGTGGACATGAATGGAGAGTGGAAAAAAAACCATAACAACTGATAGGGGCTGATAACAGACGTTGCGGTGGTGTCGCTGCTAAAAGTGGCGAAGCTTTCAAAGTACCAAATTACAAAGATATTGTGACAAGGACACTCATGGTGGGTGACAAGTAATCCTATCACTTGATAAGAGTAGATAGAACCATCTTCACTACAGTTCTAACCACTGCAATGCCAAGTAATTGGAGGTTCAGTGTGTGAATCCTTCGATGTCAACAGAACAAAAACCATCCATTAGAGTATCTGTGGGCCCTAAGCTGGGTGCAATGACGCCGAGTGAAGGGTGGGGGGAGTATGTTGTGCGTCTAGAACGGGAAATTGAGAAATAAATCAGGAAATTTATTCCCTTACCAATGTTCTGGAGAAGGAAGGTCTGTCGGGGCATCATGAGGGCTCCCGTGCGAAGCACCTGTTGACATTGGCAGAACATTGTGAAGTAGTTCTTGCTGTGCCTCTTCTGGGGGACAAAACGCTGTATGTTACACGATCCTCCGGTCTGAATCGACTTTAACCCATCCTTATATCGCCACTGCAGTCATTAGTGATATGATGCAGCCCCGTCAGAGTTGGAAATCAGTAAATAGAGAAAGGGAATGCATTGTGATAAATGCATTGTGGCCGTCTGACAAAAGTTCACCCAATCTCCTTTGCACAGGAGAAGAGTGCCTGGCGGAGCCAGGCAGGCTCGGCTTACCCGGGCCGTGTCACAGAAGGAGAAGCAGAAGAGGTCGGATCACCCCATCGTCAATTTTGACTGACTTCTTCATAGATATAATATGATTCTATATAGGTGAACATACTATCCCGCAGACCTGGCTGCCGCCGGATGATACGACTGGTAAAGGTTATGACTGCCGTGCAGATAGTTGTTCACCTATATAGAATCATATTATATCTATGAAGAAGTCACTACTGTCAAAATTGACCATGTAATACTGTTTCACTCAAGTGCAGGACTTGCATCTTTCATTCTTTGGAGGTTGACAAGCGTTTACTTCGTTGACAATATTCTTAAGAATGGATAGCTCTATGAAAGGGTAAGTTCATGTATGAACTGCCGGGCAACAGACAGCAAAAAATCTGGCGCGAATGCTTGGAAAAGTTCTCGACACTGCGGTCGTTGAGGTTCCTAAATAATTAGCGCCGACGCACAGATCTCTTTCCATATGACGCAGAATACATCAGGATTCAGCATTTTCTCGTTAACAGGTATGACTTATGGATGCACTGTGACGCTTCATACGGTGGCAATTGTTGGATAGAGCCCAAATGCAGACCTAGACCGTGAGTCATCAATTTTCAACAATTTTCCCCAGTCGTCAAGTAACTTTGCCTTTGATAATGAATGTAAGCGGAATTTTCCATCTCAGCACTGAGTGAAGCTCTTCGATTCAGAAGTATGTTGTGTTTCCAAGACAGAGTAAGAAAAAACTGAACCCTCTTTTCCTGGTTCCGACCTGGAGCGAATCAATTGGCTAGCCCTGGAAGTGTTTGTCCTTCAGGACTTAAACGCTTGCTCATGCACCAGGGCATGCCATCGTTGCGGAGATCACAAAGGAGGTCATATATGACGCGACGGAGGGGGTAAGGAGCAGCAAGAGGGCTCATTTGAAAATGAGAAGAGCAGCGATACTCAAATGTCGTCTAGTCATTGAACTATGAATTATGTAATCATGGCTCTTCTTGTGAGCAAACACTTGGAACAACACCTGGAGACAGAGGCAGGCTGCAAGCTCGGAACTGGGCGGAGGGGGAGGGGGACATAACATGCGTTAGCCGCTAACAGTGACATCATGAGTTGATATACAACGATGCGCTCGCACGGAGAAGCCTATCTAGATGTTCCACCATTCCAACACTTTTGCGTGGGACTCTGGTGCATAACGTAATACAGAAGTGACCTTAGTCGTCGCCGAATAGATTACTTCCCGATAAGTTTGAAGAAAAGATGCAAGTGTAATACAACATAATGATTTTCTTGCTGCTTATTGCTGTTATTGGTTGAAAATAGTCTACCTCCTGTGATGACGAATTATTTCGTTCAATCCTGTATTACAGACGCTTAGTTACAATTTTTGTAGCAGTTTAGGCCAAACCTTAAAACTTTAAGATGGCAGCTCTTCAGCGGTGGTCGTACAATAGTCATAATTTCTCATATGATTTTAAAGAGTTCTATTCGTATTTTTCCCCAATTGTCGCAAACGTGTGCATCACTCCCGTAAGTGCGATCGGCATCTGCGGTCAACGCACTCAAACTCCCGGTGCGCCGACTTAACCAGTCGGACGCCCCATCGGGCCCACTACACTCCTGCGCCCCCTAACAGGAGGAGCGGACCACCCCTCGGGGACCATGGGGTCTTACCGCCTATCCAACAACTTAGACGACAAGGACCAGGGTACCCAACCCTACCTACACATGGTCTAATGCACTCGCATTACCCACGCAATACACCACATTGACACATATAAAACGATGGCAATACCAACATATTGAACACAACTACACATTGTAAATAAACATATTTACTACACGAAATACTCACCACACTACAATAGTTGTTCTCTCCCTAGTCGCCGATCTTAGGAGCTTCGTCCCATAGCTGCTTACGCAGTAGGTCCCCTCCCTGGGCTTTGCCCCCTAGCTACGCAATAGGCTTGCACGGCCTCGTTCCGTTGTTACACGTGAACTCTCAATACGCGACGCGGCCTCAGTAATTCAATACCTCACCTTTGTGCTGTTCCGTTTAGTTTTTCAGAAGTTACACCAGTGCATCACACTACTTCTTAATAACTAAACTTTTCAATTTCCAGTGCTTTTGTTCGATTGGTTTGGTATATGTTTTGAGTTACTCAGATGCTTCGCAAACTCGCATTATACAACATATGCAGCAACATCCTGAAGAACACAGCAGATATCCCTACACACTGCGCAGTCACTAAGGAGGGGGAATCACTCGGACACCCCTTTCAGGAGAGGTCGTACCAACCCTCTCCGATTTTCCGCGAGGTGATGCTTGACCCTTCTTTACACCTCGCCCAACGTCCCACTGTTGCTGTGGCGCGCTTCATCAGATTTTTGACGAAGGCTCAGACGACCCTTGTTACCCCTTGTTAGTAGCTAACACTTCCTATCATCCGTCTGCGCTGCTGCTGCACGGCTCGCCAGCGCCAGCACGGCGTGAGCTCAAAGACTTACGATAGAATGGCCCGCCTCCCACCGCCCACTATACAAGTTATGAATTTCATAACAAACAGACAGAGGCCCACAAGCACAGTTTCAACGGGCCAAATACGCTGGGAATCGTTCTTTTTTGATGATCAGGTGAAAGCGATTCCAATCCGATTCTAATAAAGGACTCCTAACCTGCATAGCACTGTGCAAATGAAGGAAAATTGTTCAGCAATGCGTTGGATTTCGTCACATCCATTAATATTAGTCTTCATAAATTTCTTGTTCACGGCAATGGAGACATGGTTTGGACGAAAGAGAACAAAATTTTCAAAACTGCATTCGACGCTTGCGAAGGAGGTGTGAAGTTCTGGCGCGGTACGCTTGACTGTTCTCTAAGAAAACAGTCTGTAATCAAGTTGTGTTAGTTTTACAGAGGGAAGAGCTGTTATGTGTGATTGGGGAGCAGAAAAACCTCGCCGTTCTCGCGCTCTAACGATATGGCTTGCGTTCAGGCTGAATGGCTTGCAAGGGCTCCGATATTACGTCAAAAACGTTAGTTCTTTTCTTTTTCGAACATTCATTTCCTATTGCTCCTTTTCTTCAGCACTACGGCAGCAGTTCTCGTGGTCGGGTTGAAGGATTAGGATGTGCATCTGCGGTTTCCCAACCCGACCCCTGAGAAAGCGATTATTAGTACGGCCCAGACCCTTTGTGGTAATGTGTCGCGCTGATTAGAATGGTCTAAAAGGGCAAATGCCGGCCGGTCCGCTGATCATCTTGAGCCTATCCCATCTTGCTTGATACCTAACTTTGACTGAATGACAGAGAAGGATACCAATGAGGGAGTGAACAACTCATATGTATTTGTTGGTACACGGCGGAATAGACTACTGACTAGATGTCCATATAAATCTAAACTGTTATTAAGATACGCGATAGATGAAGCGTTATACTAGTGAACTATTTTACAATGTGACTTATTAGGAGAACAATAGGAAAGGGTATGGTTAGCAAACAGGACAATAACCGGTGATGTAGAATACGATCTGACAGCGCTCCTGTCCATGGAGCCAGTATGAGACGATGAGAGTGAGTAATCGCTCAGTAGGACGACAGGACGACAACTGAAACCAGAGAAGCAGAAAAGGGTCCCGCGCTTTGAGCTTCTTCCATCGTTCAAACTGATGACTGCAGTAAGATGGCAAGCGGAGCATGGTCTTCTTGAAGCCCATACCGTAGACGCTTCCAGGTCCCACGCAGGTCACGACAGTTGTATTGAAAAGGCTTTCTGAAATCCTACTTCTCAAGTGCTTTTTTATAAAGTGTCTTATGGCAAACAAACATTGCGAACGCACACGTCCTTGCATCACACGCGAAACCCTATGGACTTACCATCAGCAGGATATCTTAACACTAAAACCTTGTTCCTCTTTCTTTTACAGGATTGACTGTGACTTAGTGTTCCTGACAGGCATTTCTGGCTTCCAGAAAATGTCGTCTTTCTCTGAAAAAACTCCGAATGCCGATTTCTTCCAGCACTGTGCACTGAACATTAGCAGTCGATCATTGATGAGGGGGAATATGGAGAAATGGGCCGTATTCAAAAACATGAAAGTTAGGCGAAATGTAGGGGGCATTACAGAGATTCCGTCAGTGATCAGTTCCATAGGTAAGCAGTAGTGTGCGTCAGTAGTTACTGGTTAGCATAAGTGTAGATGGTTAAAGCAGTCGGACATGTTCTGATTCTTTCGATATCTTACTGGAAATATGAGTGCTTTCTAGAAATCTAAGAGCTCTGTCAGCTCAACGATATCGGCGGCAACGCCGCTGTTGGCGCCTCTGTTATGCGGCATGCTATGAATAGGTGTCTCTTCATCTGTAATGCCTCTTATAAATTCGTTAGTCAGTTGTTGCCGCCACCCTACAATAATATTTCTATCCTAAGCCCAATACCTCAGA